AGCCGAAGCTTTTTCAAATGAAACTTAAGAATTTAGCCCGTACCGCGAAGAAAACACTACACTTCACCATTACAAAGATCAACTGGTTAACGCTGTTTAAAGAAATTGGCTTCTTAACAGAAGTTTGTCTCAAACAACTCGTTAGTCACAATCCGAAAGACTATACAAAACCCAAGTTTCCTCCCAACCCTCGAGAGATATTAGAGTAGAACCACCCCTTTTTCAACAAACCATCGTTTGAGGGCTGTAAAATGGGTACTCGGCCCCAGGCCAGATGTGGAAGTTTGTGTTAAGCGGATGTAAACAGTGTTCTGACATTTGCATCGCCGTGTTACTGTGATCCAGTGCCTTGCTTGTTACTTCACTAGCAAACTGCCCGTCGAGATTGACGGGAAAATGTAACGTAGTTCATGAAATACATATTTTTGTTGAAAAATGTAACGATTAAAATCATTACTTATCTTCGCTTAATTATATCCTAGCTTCTTCATACAGAGATCGTAAACCAGGACTTGCCTGTAAAACATTGCAACAGCGCGCTGAATAGGGTGGCATTTAGAGCAATACAATGAACAGCAATTATGGCTTCCTAAGAAACAGCTGTTCCTTTTATGAGTTCTTTGAAGGAGTTTTTGGAAGTGGTCCAGGAGAATAATAGACGAATAAATTAAGTCTGGCTCATTCTGAAGTATTCAGATCAACGCAAATCAGGTTAGCACAGTGCATTGGCACAACGAAGACACAGGGAAAGTTGGGCGTGAAACAGACAGATAATTTAACACATGGCACAGTCACGTGATGTAACGCCATGTGGCCAATGACACTTGTTATCGGAGGTTTAAGTGTGATGATAATACTAAAATGAATCTTAGAAAAATACACTGAGGGAAAAACTGAAAGACCTGAGCTTAAATGTGATGATAATACTAAAATGAATCTTAGACAAATACTCTGAGGGAAAAACTGAAAGACCTGAGCTTAAATGTGATGATAATACTAAAATGAATCTTAGACAAATACACTGAGGGCACTCACACGGATCAGGAAGGACGAAAATTGTGATATCATTTGAACACGGTAAGGCATTTTTGAAGTTTACAAAAGACGGGGAATTTATTGACCAGTTTAGCGGCTATCAACTTGTCAAGAAGGAGTGTACTCCTTGGGGTTGATGTGAATGCAAAAATATTCATAAATTCCGAAGACCCACACTTGATCTTCATCTGAACTCAAAACCTTAAGTGACTTCTTAGAAAAGATGTCACTAACTTTTATTCACCAAGTTCAAGAAAGGCCAGCCACTGGATATTCGACGTCTCTGCTCGGATTCGAACCGGGGACTCGTCAAACAAAATCAGTGTAATCGTTGCTGAGGTAGAATTATGAAAAGCAAGTTACATACAGGATATAGAAATTAAGATAAAGTTCACGGCTGAACGGAGTGTAATCTGAAGAACGCTGAGCTTTGTACTTGTCAAAGGAGCGGCTACAATTTTCCATCTCGTCATATTCATGACGGGGTAAATGGAAATGTTATAGTCTGCGTGGTAACTCATTACTAGCAATTTAGATAAGAGGTCTGCAGCAGTCAGCACGTTCCTGGGAAAGGGCAACACCTGCAAGCACGGGAGATAGGCAAAACGCGGTACAGTCAGTACAGAGAAATAATCTTAACTCTTTCAGTGGTAACTATACGTACCACCTGCTTTAACAATAAATACTTCTGCATCTTGTATTGGGTAAAGTAGCCTTCGCACTGTAGACTGCGATTATTTCCTTAAACAGCGTTAACCAGTTGATCTTTGTAATGGTGAAGTGTAGTGTTTTCTTCGCGGTACGGACTGAATTATTAAATGATATTCAATTTGTATCGATGTAGATTTTCCGCAGTTTTTCTCGTCCCTGGTGCAAAAAATGCAGAGTTGTTATCCAAATTCCACGTTGCACCAAATGCCTTTCATTCAACCCTCTCGATATTAGAATAAATATATCCCTAAATCCTGCCCTACCAAGGTTTAAGTCACAATTTAAAATTCTCTTCTCTCTTTGATCCACTTCTGAAGGCCTTGCCTAAGCTTTAGTGTACCTTTACCGGAAGGACGAACGGGAAATGCATGGGAACTTCCATAGCCGAAATGTGGTGCCTGTCGCTTTTTCCCTCCAACTTCCCCGTCTCTCTCTCGTTCGTTCGGCTTCAATGGATTAATTAACGCGCCTTCTGTACTCCTGGAACAACAACGAGACCGCTCAAAGCCACGCAAAGGCTCTGTGTTGGTATTCTGACGTCATATCAGTTAATATCATATGTTCTCATTGGTGACGGTCCATTATTCTTCTGATCATAGGTCACTGTGTGGCCATACAAATACAAAGGTCAGAGAGTGTTTATCATTCCACTGCAAGGCTACCAAGAAATGTCACTGAATATACGGGCAATCTTTTTAATTGCACTCCGAGTCATATTTTTTAGGGGTAGGGATTGAATTTCGCTGGTCAGAAAGTTTTATACCTACTGTAAATATCAGTATGTAGTCGCTCGATTTTATAACCGGGGAACGTGTATCAACATATAATGACAAAAAAAGACACATAGAGCGTAATTTCCACTGAAACCGTAAATCTTTCACCTTATGTTAAACCAATATCGGATCCAGACAGGAAGATCACTAACTTTCACAAGAATCCAGACTTCGAGTCTCGCAACTCACGAGACACTTGGCTAAGCGAGGTTCGTCACATCTGCCATCTTCCTTATGTTTTGAAGTTACGTCATCTAAAGAAATATCAGAAGCCAAGGACACAAAATAAGTTGCGTTTCACGCCATGAAGAAGGAACTTCCTGGTAGGGAGAAACGCTACGTTTGGTAGCACAGTAAAAACCTTGGTTTAACGGAATACCAGAGGACCAGAACATCTTTCCGCCAAACGCAGGTGGTTCTTCGTTCAAGAACGCCTGTCTCAAATGGTACCGAACAAAAACAGACGAAGTCTCGGTCCTGCCCGCATGAGAGGAGAAAACAGACGGACAAATCATATAATTACGTCACTCCAAGGCCTTCTTAATCTTCTGTACGGCCATATACAGACCGCCTTGAAGGCAATAACAACGTGAGGGCTACTTAACAAGGGGTTTAAAAAACACGCGCACAGGGAGATCCGAAAAACTTATTCTGAAAGTTATATTTTTTTTGTTTATTCAATGATAATTTATCAACTTGAGACGAAAGGAAGGGGATCGGTAGAGAATGCTTAGGGGCCAAACGGTCGTCACATATTTGTTGGCATTATTCAAGGCATTCAAGTACGTATTTCAGAAAAAACTGGGCCAAGATTTTCAGTTTCTTTAGCAGTAACATGAAATATATCATGGTTGTGGAGTCTGCACTGAAATCTCCGACTCCTTTATAAAAGCTCAAAATGTATTAATTAGGGTAAGCCTACTTAAATGGTAAATGGCACCATAAGGGAGCCTTCCGAAAGAGTGAAGCTGATTGCTTCCATCTAGTGCCGAGGACTGTTCAAGGAAATCATAGCTGTTTGCCCTGATAATGATTGCGGGCAGGACGCAGAGTTGCTTATTTAAGGGGAGCTGACACAACATTTGCCACTGTGCGATCAAGAATCAGAGGTAAGAGTGTGTGAAACCGGATAAAAAAAATACACTAAGTCACGTGATATTCCCGTTATAATAACGTTTTAGTGTGTTTCTGTAACATGATGGTACATGTTTTGGGGCAGGCTGTTGCAACGCGAGGAAACATATGTATCTGACGGGAGAGACGCCATGGTCAAGAAAAGACGAAATCGTCTTCCTGCCTT